TCGGATTGGCTCCTTTCGCGTTGCGCGGCGCGTTGCCCACGAGCGCGCCGAAACGTCGTTGCTCACCCGCCGTCTCCAGGAGGTTGATGGGCCTTGACGGGCGAGGGCCATGCCTGACCCCTGCAGTTCCCGCCCGCGTAGATTCTCGCAGGTCCGGCGACGCGGCGCCCGGCGCAGCGCGTCGCCATCAGAGAGACAACTGGCATCGGCAGACGACGCACTCGCAGCCTGGCGCAGGCAGGCACCCCCGCGGGGCGCGCCGCAGCAGGGGCCCCCGCGGGCAGGCCCAGGAGCGGCCCCAGCGCGGGGTCGGCCGAACCAGCTGCCTGGCCAGGCGCAGGAGGGGCGCGCGCGAATCGCGCTCCCGCTGGCGACGCCCTGCGCGGCGGCAACTCGGATCGGCCTGCCCGCCCACTTGTGCTAAGTGGGGCCGAGAACGATATGGTGGATGATATGGTCGCTGACGCGGCTCGGCCGGCCCCGGGATCCCCCCCTTCAAAGGATCCAGGATTGGCTGTCCATCCGCAACGTTCTCCTCGATCACCTCCGAGCGCGTCGGATGCGCCTTGTCCGAGCAGCGCGAGGCGGCGCAGAATCTGGCGCGGCGCGCTGCCACCGCCATCTGTGTCTGAGGGGCGGCTGGGCGAAGACTCATGCGAAGAAGCCGGAAATGGGCTGGGGTTCGCTTTGGAGGGGCTCCCTTACTCTTGCGACTTGTCTAAACTCGATGAGCCCTTACCCTTCTCGAGCTCGGAGATCGCCGCCGCGGCCAATTCCTCGGCTTATCGCTCTGGTGCAATCGAGCTCTCAGCTGTCGAGTGATTGCTCGGCGCTCTTCACCGTCGAGAGCCTCCGGTCATCTTTCGTCTTGCGAGGTGCCTCGCGTCGCCTGTCCTCTTCCATCCGCTGGCGCAACCTCTTGGCCATGTGATTCATCATCTCTTTCACCTGAATGTTTCTTGATGGAATATCTTCACTATGAGTAAGGGCCAAACCAACGACTCCTCCGTCGCGTCGCCGTGGCCGCTGGCCAGGAGGGGGCGGGGCCCCGCGCGCGCTCCTCGCCCGCGTCGCAGCTCCCCTGGCGGCCATGGAGGTGGCTCTCTCAAGTGCGATAGCGAGTGCAAGACGAGCGCGTTCACGGCGCCATGCGCGCGAGCTGAAACTCGCCCGCGCCTCACAGTCCGCACGCGCGCGCACTGGCCCCCTCATGCGCGCACGCCCGCGACCGGGGTCGCGCGGCGGTCGCGTCGTGGCGCGGTGGATCTTGATCCGACGGTCGTCGGGCAGCGCTGCGTGCGTCTCGTTGGTCTGATCGGCGGCCGCTTGCAAGTGCGCCGCGACTTCGGCAACGCGAAGGGCCGGAGCATCCACCCCACCTCCATGCCCCTGGTTCCACGCGCCGGCACCCCCCTGGGACTCTTGGACTGTGGTTCACGTGAGCTTCACGCAGACAGACGCGGTAGGTTTCGGGACCCTCAATGGCAGCGCGCTCGGCGCGGCGCCTCTGTTCTGCTTCCGCCGCGCCGGCGAATGAAGCGCGGGCGAGGTCGCAGCGTTGATCCCTCCATACCTGCGACACATTACCCCACCAACGACAGTCACGGAGGCGTCGTCGTGCGCCCGCGCCGCGGGTTCGCGGCGGCTGCGCTGCGTCGCCTACCTCTCCCCCCCCCCGACCCCAGCCCGCGCGGCGCTCTGCGATGTCGCCGTCGAAGACTATTCTACAATGGGGCGGGGCGATCCCTGTGCCCTGGCTGAGACTTGCGAAGTGATGAGGCGCCTGCGGATTGCCCAATATTTGGCAGACGTTGCCGTCGCCACCAGCACGTCGTTGCCGTCTCTGCCACGCCACCGGCAAGGGGCACCGAAAGCATGTCGCCCCAGCTCGTTGCCGCGCGCAGCGCCGATTCCCTCTTGAGCGGCCGGCGCGGTCGACGCTGGAGACGACGGGAGTCGGTTGCGAATCGCCCTGCGCCACGAACTCGCCGATCTGCATCGCGTCGCCGCGCCCCATCTCGACGCCGAACTCCTGAGAAATTGCACGGAGCTTTTCGTTCAAACGCTGTCGGGGCGCGACAGCATGGTACCAGAAAATCGGGGAAAAAACCAAACGCTGTTCAACGTATCGTTGCAAGAAGAAATCAGACTTAGACGCGCTGGTTCGCTTGCTGCAAAGAAGTGGTCGTAGCCTCTGAAAATGCTGAACACGCACCGCACAATCCCTATCCCCCCCCTTTCCCCCGGCTGCACAGCGATGCAGGAAGGTTCGGGGGCTCGCGTGCATTGCGCAACATGGGACTGCCATCCTTGCCGGTGGAAGCGCGACCTCGCGTCATACCTTCACCTCCAAAATGACATCGCGTCGCACTCGTCGCTAGATAAAGACGCCATGAACGAGGCGACGCCATTGCCGCGCACCCTTCGCTTCCCCACGTCCGTCTTCGCCCTTGCCCCGCCCTTCGGCACGCGGCGCAAGTCTGACATCTGCGCGCGAGACGCAAAGGCTTCTGCCTGACCCTCCACCCCACCTCCTCTTGGCATGGTGCGCGGCAAACTATAGGAATTCTGTCCTCTTGCGATCAGTAAGATGCGCGGGTATGTCTGGTTGATCTTTTGACCCTGCTGCTCACGACGATTCGGCGTCGACGCGCGCACCGGAGTCGAACGACAAGGCAGGCTCAGCCAGGCCGCGTTGGCCCCAGAGGGTGGCACTCGGCAGCGCTGGGTGAGTAGCTGCTTCCCAAATCCAATCCGCGCCGCCAGCTGCCCATCTGCCAGACGCCTGGCCGGTGAGAAGGGCTGCGCCTTCAGTGGGGTTGTTTTGGCGATGTGCTATGAGGAGTAGTCGCATCGACACCGGCGCCGCTAAATACCGCATGGTCTGATTGAGAGTTGGCGCGGAGCGACGCGCTACCGCGCCCTCGCCCAAGCACCCCACCGATGTGCCCAGGAGATCGTTCCGAGAGATGGCCGAATGATAGCATTCGCTCAAATCGTGCATCATGATATACCTGGGCCCTGGGCATTCGGTGGCTTAGCAGCTGCACCATATGTGGCGCTCGGACGGCCCGCACTTGAAGCGCACGAAACAAGATTGCGGGCAATATCTGTAAGTTGCGAATGTCAAATACAACAGATTGGGCCTCTAACTTGGCCGTCTCAAATCTCGCCAATGTTGCCTCGATCCTTTCCAGAAAGCACACTGAAGTCAATTAGTCGTGTGCCTATGTCGAGTTGACGTTCGTTTTTTCGGTGCTCGAACTTGTCACTTAATGTATACATGATGTATGTCACTGGATCGGTTCTGGCACTATTACTCTACACGCCGTAACTGAAAATGTACGATCGCATGCGCAATGCTATTATTCGCGCTAGTCCTGGGTGGCCTCGTTGGATGGTGACTGCTTGTTGTTGAAGTGTAGAGCGGCCGATGGTGACGTTGAGCCACGCGTGGACCTCCTGGGCATAGGTCCCCAAGGGCACGTTGCCCGCAAGTTCCCAATGAGGTTATCTAGTATATGTAACGCGATCTGCACCGCGCTGCATGTGCCCCACAGCAAACCCGAAGATAACCCAGCTGATGCCGAATCTGGTGATGTGAAGATCGTGACCCAAGGTATCGGAATCCTTCGGTTGTGTTATGGTCTCTGTGGGTGGCGAGCAGCTGTTAGACATTGTAAGAGTCTTGGCTGCATGCGTCCATGCTTGGGACAGCGATCGAATGGAAAGTCGGCGTAACTGAGCCCGTTGCCAAGCTGAGTGCACGCATTGCGCGGAATGTAGCGACGTAGGGCCGTGCTGTATGCACCCACGATCGAAGTAGGTATGTCGTTGGTAGAGTGGGTTCGCGTGCTGGCATCGGCGAGTCCACTGCTGGATAACAGTCCATTGTTGAACATTGGAACCGATGCGGGGTTCTATGTGCCAGCTTCCAAGTTCTACTCCCCGAAAGGACGTCGGCGGATGGTAGTCCAAGCTGGATATGCGTATTGCGCCGTGGAAAATTGCAAGCAATAGAGCTAATCACACAAGTGCGTAACCAGCTCCGCTACCAAGTCGAAAAAAACATGCATCGGAGGATGGTGAGCCCTGAGGCTGATGCAGAAGCAGATGAAATCTTTCTCCCTACACAATAATACCCCGAGTCAAGTCATGGTACTGGCTAATCCAATCCTGGTGTCGACGTCCTTGAGCCAGAACGGCCGCGGATGCGCTCGTTCCTGCGTTGCCTCCGCTCGCTGACACGGCGGAATATGCCCTCCGCCGACCAAAACAGACAAAACGTCCAGGGGGGCCCTCCCCAGGATGCACAAGAACATCCAACAGCACACGAAGAACACTAGGGCACCCTCCCCGAACCGACCTCGATCGATGTTTTGAGGCCTCCTATATGGGGTCCGAATAGACGGGATCGAAGGATGGCGCCGCATCGCCAATGCATCGCCGATGTATCGGCGACGTCGGCGATGGATCAGCGACTTCGGTGTCGGGAAACACGGGCTCCACATCGAGCCGAGCCGCATCGTCGATGCATCGGCGATGCGGCGAGATATCTACTCGGACCCGATCTAGGAGGCCTCGAATATGATACCTTGGTCCCACTGTACCTGTCCCTCCTCTGACCCTGATCAAAAAGGGGGGACGAGGCTAAATATCCGCTCAAAATCGGTTCCCCCGACAATCCTCCCGGGCTCCCATCTGGTGCAATTTCTCGCCCCAGGTCCGTCTCTGACAGTCCCGGGGACGGGTGGCAAATGGTTGCCTTTTCCTCCTCTAAGGCGAAGCCAGGACGAGGATAAGTTCGGGAATATGTGAAATCCCGCAGCTCCGGAGGATGGCGGCCTCCTCCGAGCGCTCTGGAACGCTCTGACTTCGCTCCTGAGCACTCTGGAACGGATTTATCCTCGTTCTGGTCCCGTTTCCTCCTCCACGAACAGCGCACCTCCCTTAGAGCTAAGCGGAGGGAGCGCGAGGCGAAGGCGGCGCGCTCGGCGTGCCAGCAGCGCCAGCTGCACGAGAAGCAGGGGCACCAACACGGTCACCATGGCGAGCAGCGTGACCTCGCGGACGGCAACTTTCCCTGCTGGCTGCCCCTGACGACGAAAGAATAGCACACACACACACACACCGTTACCCATAAGGGGGTCGGAGGGAAGAGAACTGCACTATGGGTATGGGTGTGGGTTGTCGGACCTCGGGGGAGGCTCCCGTTCGAGCGGGCAACTCCCGTCCCACAACACGCACCCATGCCTCTTTCCGTCCCCCCTATGGGTATGGGTGTGTGTTTATTGTTCGTCATCTGAGGAGCTATCGAGTAGAGGGAGGCCAGGTGAGCCTTCATGAGAGCCTCTGTGGACCTCCGCAGCGCTATCCTAAACGTGGTTTCGACCAGATTTCGTCTAGATTTCGACCACCCTATCTTCACTACATTTCGTCAAGATGTCGTCCAAATGTCGACCAAATCCGACGAAATCCGGACGAGTTCACGGAAATGTGAGATCCTGTGAGACTCCCATGAAGGACCACACGGAGCAGCGATCGACCAGAGAACCAGGAGGAATAGGACGATAGTGCGGAGAAAGAGGAGGAGGAGGAGGAGGAGCCCCGAGAATGACGACAGAGTGCCTGGAGCCGGTAGCAGCAGCAGGAAGACGAAGACCAGTCGCTGCTCTTGCCTCGGGAAAGCCTGCCCCTGGCAGTCACTTGTCTCAAAGGTGAAAAGATGCCCCGGTCGGATGGAGGGCTACCCTGATCGCACCTGTGCGTGCACCATCTTGGGGAGCTTACCAGGTCCAGGTACAGGTGGCGAAGTTGGAGGCTGGAACTGTAGGGCGACATCGATCGTTTCCCAAACAGTGTTTGCATTTAGGGGTTCCCTCTTCTCTCCGTTGAGAAATTGGTCAAGTGTTAAAAATTTTCGCCACGTTGCGACCCGTGTCGCCTTGTGGGCGCCTCGAGGGCGCCCCACGCTTGGGGGACATGCCGAGAATACGGCAGATTGCCGCCTTGTGAGCGCCTCGTGGGCGCCCCGTGCGCTGGGGGAGGGCATGTCGAGGTTGCACCACGTTGCCGCCCGTGCCGCCTCGTGGGCGCCATGCGCTTGGGGAGGCATGCTAAAATTGAGACCACCTCCGAAATCCTCGTCGACCGTGGTGATTTCCTAGAAATGGAAACCTCGGTTCATTATCTTCAGATGATACCCTGTGGAACATTGTCCTGTGAATGGATCGGGCTCAGCCCCCCCCCCCGGCCGAATCATTATCTTTCCGGAATAATCAACCTACGTTGAATTTCCAACATTATGAACCATGGTTTATCTCAGTTCAGTCTGGAACGTACGCTCAAACGGCGCCCCCCAAGCTAAATCATCTAAAAACCCGAATAACTAACCCGGGGTCAATAGTCCGGGAATCATATGAACCCGGGTTTAGTATCTCGTAGAGATAACGAACCCTGGTCAATATTCCGACATGAAAACCTGGTGGGGAACCTGGGGGCTGGGGGGGAAAATAATAATAATCACTACCATTCCACGAAAAACGGGTTCATTATTCCCGGGACATTGTAAACTCCAGTCAATATTCCTGCAACATTATGAACCCAGATTAATATGATTTCGGGGTCGATATCCCCAGAAAACTATAAACCAGGGTTTATGATGTTCCACGGGACATTATGAACCCCTGTCAATATTCCCGGAACATTGAAACCCAGGTTGGTAATGTTCCGGGGGAGACATTATGGACCCGGATCAATAATCCTGGAACATTATACACCCCGGTTAATATCGATGTGGGATCCATCCTGCAAAAATTGCCCCACGCTGCCGCCCGTGCCGCTTCGTGGGCGCCTCGTGGGCGCCCAGTGTTCTGAGTTCACACGACATGACTGCTAGCACACAACTTGCACCACACAACTTACGCCACATGCCACATAGCTTGCGCCACATAGTTTGCACCGTACACGTTCCACAACACATGCGAAACATCACGCATCTTACACCCCATAGCTGTCACCGCACTATCCTACGACATAGCTTACACCACATAGCGCACAACGCACAAAGTGTACCTCCTCAGTTCACACCAAGTATATTATCCCTTTCTAAAAACAGAATAGGATCTACCCCCCCCCCGGCGTTATCGGTACCACTTTCGGGTATGTAAATCGTATACGATTCTGACCACATGTCCATCCCCAATATGAAATCACAATGTCCCAGGCCGGCCGGTATCCCCCCCCTGAGGTTCCCTTTATAAGAAACACTACGCGGTGACATTTTTTAAAACATAACACTTGTTCGCCAACCCCTTGCGCAAAATGGGACGAAGTGCAAACGCGCGCGCCGTCGCGCGCGCATGCCGAAATTCTTCAATGACCTTCGGTTTCGGAAGGACTTCGCAATCGAGTTCCCCCCCCAAATCAAACATACAAAAACACACGGTTTCGCAACACTGATTTGCTAAAAAAGCTTGCGCGCGAGATCTTGCGACATCTCAAGAAAACAATGTTTGTTCAACACTTTGACAAAATACTATCAAACGGGCTTCGCACGCGCGCGTGTCGAAATCTGTCGAACGCCCTTGCGCGTGTGCCGTCGCGAGAATCCTTTGCAAACAAAAAAAAGGACGAAGTGCAGACGCGCGCGTCGTCGCGCGCGTATGCCGATTTCGGAAGGATGTCAAAATCGTGTCCAAAAAACCTACAAAAACACAAGGTTTCGTCGTTATCATCATCATCGTCTTTCCTCCCCTCTCGTCGTCATCATCATCAGCGTCGCCGTCCTTCCTCCTTCTTCGTCGTTCGCGTCGTCGCCGTCCTCCCTCCTCCCTCGTCGTTGTCGTCGTTGTCGTCGGTGTCATCGGTGTCGTCGTTGTCGCCGTCGTCGTCCTCCCTCCTCCCTCGTCGTCGTCTTCGTTGGCGACGTCGTCGTCGTCGTCTTCATCGTCGTCGTCGGCGTCGGCGTCGTCGTCTTCGTCGTCGATGTCGGCGTCGTCGTCGTCGTCGCTGCTGTCGTCGTCGTCGTCGTCAGCGTCGTTGACGTCGTCGTCGTCGGTGTCGCTGTTGTCGTCGTCGTCGGTGTTGTCATCGTCGTTGTCGTTGTCATCGTCGTCGTCTGCGTCGGTGTCGTCGTCGTCGTTGTTGCCGTTGTCAGCGTCGTCGAAGTCGTTGGAGACGTCGTTGGTGTCGTTGTAGTCGTTGTCGGCGGCGTCGCCGTCGTCGTTGTCGCTGTCGTGGTCGGCGTCGCTGTCGTTAACAAGTGCCATTTGGTACCCACCGTCACGGTCTTAAGATATTTTGCAAACACAGTTGCGGGTGGGTGGGTGGGATGTTTGCGCGAGCAGTGGAGTGGACAACTCACTGCGAACAGAAATTATTTGCACTTCATACGTTTTCCCACACAGCTTACACACCGCATAGCTACCACCCCCACAATGCAAGAACTTCTTGTTTGCGGTCTTCGCCTGCTAACATCATACTGAAAAGGAAGAGGATGGAGGAGGAGGAAGGACGGAGGGAGGGAGGGCGGAGGAGGGAGGAGGATCGTAATGTCCCCAGCCCTCAGATCCCCTGGCGGGGGGGCGCACCAGCGCGTACTCGGTCCACTCGCGGTTGCCGCGGCAGCCGAGCCAGCAGGCTGCGACCTGGGGGCGCCCTGCTGGGAGTACCGCCGACGAGCTGCCACACTGGCTCGGTTTGATGATCATCACAGCACGAGCGGGCCGAGATTCACGTACATACACTTGCTGCTCGTGTTTCCCAGCCGGCTGGTCCAACACAGCGAAAGATTAGCGAGGGCGCCTTTGAGAATCATCACAAAGCGTTGTTGATGGAGTGGCACTGTACGCCAGATGCAAAAAAATACCCACGGCCATGCGAGCGCCAACCAATAGTGTCGCAACAGGAAAGAACGACTGTACAACGCGGTGGCGGGAAGACGGTTGGCAGGGCGGCTCCGCAGGGTGAAGCGCCAGGCGGAGGAGGCTGCCAGGACCGAAGCCCAGCGAGCGATTCCGAGGAAACACAGCGGCGCCGACCCACAGGTGGACGACCCGGAACAACGGCACCGACCCACAGCTGAACGACCCCGGAGAGCGGAAGAGCGAGAAGAGAGGAGAAGGGCGACGTACATACACACACACACACACATACACGCACGCACGCACGCACGCGCAGACGCAGACGCAGACGCAGACGCAGACGCAGACGCAGACGCAGACGCAGACGCTGACGCAGACGCAGACACACACACACACACACACACACACACTTTTGCGTCGGCGGCTAGGCAGGGGGACTGCTCTGGCGAAGTGGCATTAGAGGGACACGCAAAATGCGAATTAAGCCGCGATGCGCGGGAGGGAGAAACAAGAAACGCGGCGCGGGCGGGAAGGAGAGGAGGCCAGGCCCGCTCAGAGCAGGGCCAGGCGGCGGCGGGGCGGGCGCCGGGGCAGGGAGCCAGCGGCGCACACACACACACACACACATTCACACACACACACACACACGCACGCACGCACGCACGCACGCACGCACGCACACACACACACACACACACACACGCACGCACGCACGCACGCACGAACGCACGCACGCACACAGACATACATACACCCACACCCACACACCAGGCTAACAGTTAACACAAGTGCTGGAGATCGTCGATCGGTCATCCCCTCCCCCCTCGAAGATATCGAGCAGCTGTGGCAGCTGTGCGCCCGCGGTGGGGGGGGGCTCCAGCAAGGGGCGCCTCCCTCCCCAAGGGCCGAGGCTGGCTGGGACGCGCCAAGGACTGCCTCGGTGCGGCATCGCCGAGTCCCGCGAGAAGGAACGGGGGCATCTGCGCGACGCGAGGGGCCCCGACTGCCACGAGGCCTGCTCTCTGCACGGCACCGCCCTTCGCGTAGCCGATCAGGGTAGGGCGGTGCCTGGAAGTGCAGGCGCTGCAGGAAGGGCGGACTAGGGAGGGCCGTCCTCCGAGCCACGCCTGGGCGCGGCGACGGTCTCATCCGAGAACCTTCCGGGGATGGCAAAAGACTTCCAAGGAGGACAATCCCTACCGGACCTGACCCAGGCCCTGTCGACACTGCGCCAAATCTAACCTGACCCATAGTTAACGTTGCCAACGGGCTCGGCGACACCAGTGTGTCACGCGCGCGCGGCGTAGCAAATGATGCACCAAAGTGGGGCGACACAGCAACATGCGATGCCGAAGTGCCAACTGTATCACTGATCCCTTCGGCTCCAACGAGGAATCTCGCCGGCGCTGAGATGAGCAATTTTCGCAATCGATGATGTGGTTGGCGATGAGGCGGGAGCGACATTCGCAACCATGTCGCGGGTGTGGCCAGCGGTGAAGCGACAGCAGCGTTTGCAGTCGTGGGTGTGGCCAGCGCGAAGGCAAGAGAAACTGTCGCAATGGTGAGTGTGGCTGGCACTACGGCGAAAGCAACATTCGCAATAGTGGATGTTGCCGGCGCCAAGGCGACAGCAACACTCGCAATCATGGATGTGGCCAGCGTTGAGGCGAGAGCAACGTTCGAAATCATGGATACGGCTGGCGCTGAGGCGACAGCAGCCGTCGTAAACGTGGATGTGGCTGGCGCTGATGCGAAAGCGACGTTCGCAATAACCGGTGTGGCCGGCACTGGAGGGAAAGCAGCGTTCGCAATCATTGACGCGGCCGGCGAAGATGCGAAAACAAAATTCGTAATCATCGTTGTGGCCTGCGCTATGGCGAAAACAACATTCCCAACAATGGATGCGGCTTGGGTTAGGCTCGGTTAGGGCAACACAAAGTCAATGTAATGGATGTGGCCACCGGTGAAACGAGAGCATCCGTCACAATCGTGGGCGAGGTGTCCCGCTGCAAACGCAGACTGGCTCTAGCGCAACCAGCAGCACCACTGAGACGAGTACCGCCAGAAGCAGAAACACCATGCGCAGCAGCAACAACACCAACGCCAACAACAACAGCAGAAAGTATTGCAAGCCACACGAGCGACTCCAACAGTGCCTCTCTGACCAACACGACAGCAAACAACACCACCACAACGCGCACCAGCACTAGCGTCACTAGCAGTAGCAGTATGGCGACCACGACGGGGAATGGATCAGCACCACCACGGCGACACAGCACAAGCGCCACCAGCAGCAACATTGTGACCAACATTGTGAACAACACGACAGCAACTAGCACCACCACCACACTAGCAACACCAGCGTCACCATCAGCGCGACGATCACGACTGGGAGTAACAACGCCAAACGAAACAACTCAAACGCAAACAGCAGTACTAGCGTGACCAGCGCGACGGGAAACAGGAACACTACACGCACCAGCACACGCGCAAGGAGCAGCACCGCCGCGACGCGCACGACAGGATCCAGCAGCACGACACGCGCCAATACAAGCACCACCAATAGCGCCACTGTAATCAGCACGACGAATAGCAGCAACACCGCAACACCACGCACAGCAACATACACGCCACCAGCAGTTCCACTAGAACGAGCGACTCAAGCTGGATTGCGCGAGTGCCCCCAGCCCCCCGCAGGCCAGGCCAGCAGGTGGAGAGGCGTTCGCTCCAGCGCAAAGCGTCATGGCCCAAATCGCTCAATTTTGCAGTGGGGACCGGGGTGCCCCAAAGCAGAAATGTGCAGTCCGTCCGCGCGAAGTTTTGCGAACCCCACCACGGGAGGAACTGCTGCTCGCCCCAAGCCCGAACGGCGGTCGCTCCCAGGAAACGGCTTGCGCCAGCCGGGTCCTACAGTAGCAGCGCTACCCAAGAGCGCCAGGGCGAGCGCGAGGGCGGGTTAGTGACTCGTCGCGGGCCCGCCGTCAGCGCCCGCCGCCTGCCGCCGCCCAGCCCGGACAGCAGCTCCAACGCCTAGCACCGGCGCCCTGTCCAGCCAGCAGCAGCACGCGCGCAAGCAGCACCAACGCCACCAGCAGTTCCACTAGAACGAGCACGACGGGAACCAGCAGCACCAGGCGATTCGCGCTGGACTGCGCGAGCGCCCCCCTCCCCCCCCGCCGGCGAAGCTGGCGGGAGGGAATTGTTCCCGTGCTCCAGCGCAAAGCGTCACGGCCCAAATCGTTCGATTTTGCGATAGGCGCTGAGGGCGCCCCAAGGCACAGCCCACAGCCTGTCCCAAAGGAGCCAGCTGCTCGCCCATCGCACCGCAGTCCACGCGGCCTGGCGGAAATGCGTACGACGACCCGCGACGCGTCGGTCAGCAACACGAGCGAAACGTGCAGTTCCACTGTGACCAGCCGACAGGAAGCAGCACCACCACCACCAGCAGCAGCAGCACAAGCGCCACCAGCAGCACAACTGTGAGTAGCAAGACAAAGGCAGCAGCAAGAGTGCCACCTGCAGTGCCACTCCACCAAAGGCCTGTCGGTCGGAAACAGCAACACCACTCGCAGTATCAACGCCGCCAGCAGCAGTAGCACGAGCATCGCAAACGCGACCAGCAACGGAGCCACCACCAACACCTCTGTGACGATCACCGCGAGAAGCAGCAACACAACACGCAGAAGCACCAGCAGCCAGCAACACCACCTTGACCCGCACACTGGGAGCCAATAGTACAACGCGCACCAACTCTAGTGCAATCAGCAGAACTACCGCGACGAGCACTTCAGCAACATCGGCGCCGCCACCAGCAGTGCTGAGAGCAGCAATGGCAAAACGACGCCAGCAGTACGAGCGACCCAAGCAGCTCCAGCATGACGAACACGACGAGGAGCAGCAACAACACACGAAGCAGCATCAACGCCGCCAGCACCACCACTGCAACGAGCACGACGGCAAGCAGCGGCGCCAAGCGCAGCAGCACGAGCGCCACCAGCGGCACCACTGCGACGAGCACGACGGGAAGGAGCTGCGCCACGCAAGGCACCACCAGCAGTTCCACAAGAACGAGCACGACGGGAACCTGCAGCACCAAGCGATTCGCGCTGGACTAAGCGAGCACCCCCACCCCCTCGCCGACGAGGCTGGCGAGGGGGAAGCGCTCTCTCGCCCCAGCCCAGAGCGTCACGGCCCAGATCGTTCGATCTTGCGCTGGACACTGGGGGGCGCCCCAAACAAACATGCGCAGTCCGTCCGTGCGAAGCTTGGCTGGGAAGTGCGAGCCCTGCCCCAGAAGCAATTGCTGCTCTGCCGCCCGAGCGGCGGTCGATCCCAAGGGGAAAACGTTGCGCCAGCCGGGGCGTATAGAAGCAGCGCTACCCAGGACAGCCACGGCGAGCGCGAAGACGGGGTAATGGCTCGTCGTGGACCCTTCGTCAGCGCCCGCCGCCTGCTGCTGCCCGTCCCAGCCAGCAGATCCAGCGCCCAGCACCAACGCCCTGCCCGGCCAGCAACGGCGCCTAACCTGGCCAGCAGCGGCCGCTGGGCAGCGCCCTCCCACGGTCGTCGTCCAGTGCGTCCAGCGGCTGCCGCGCTGCCGGCGTCGCCACTGCCCGCTGCAGCTGCAGGCTGCCACGAGTCGGGCGTGCAGCAGGAGAAGTGCGAGCGCAACGAACACATTCAACTGTGAACAGCACGACAAGAAACAGCAGCACCACTCGCAGCAGCACCAGCGCCACCAGCAGTGCCTTTGTCAGAAGCACGACGAAGACTAGCAGCAACACCAATGCGACCAGCCCGACAGGAACCAGCAGCAGCACCAGCAGCAGCGCGAGCGCCATCAGCAGCACTGCAATAATGCGACCAACCCTAGCGCCACTGGTGGCCCCTCTGTGACCATAACGACAGCAAGCAGCATCATCACGCTCAGCAACACCAGCGCCACGATATCTAGCGTTGGGCGGGAGACAGCAACACTAATTTCACCAGCCCAAGCGCATCGAACAATACCAGTGTGACGAAGAGCACCAGAAACAGAAGCCTTCCGCGAAGCAGCAGCGCCAGTGTGACCAGCAGCACAACAAGTAGCACTACCGGCGCCATCAGCAGCACCGCTGCGACCAGCCCGACGGGAAACAACAGCACTACGCGCACCAGCACAAGTACCACTGAGAGGAGCACCGCTGGAAGCAGCACCACTGTGACCAGCACGCGGAAATCAGCAGCACCACGCGCAGCACAACTAGCGGCACCGGCAGCCCCAATGTGACCAGCAAAACGATAACCAATAGCAAGACGCGAAATACTCTAAGCGGCACCTTGGCACCAAACTGACCGCGGATGGGGCCGCGATCCTCAAGCTTGCGCAGCCCACAAGCTTGTGAGGCTGCGTCTTCCCCTGCGACGCGAACAGCGTTCGCAATCAAGATGTGGCAGGCGCCCACGCGATGGTACAGTCCAGAATCAAGGCGAGAAGGGCGTTCGCAATCAAGGGTGCGGCCGGCGCCGAAGAGGCAGCACAGCATTCGCAATCGTAAGTTTGGCTGGCGCCAGGCGAGAGCAGCATTCCGAATCGAGAGACCGCAGGTGCCTCGGCTGGCGCCTCGCGGCAAATCCGCGCTGTCGTCGGCGATGAGTCCCCAAACCTCTCCGAGCCCCTGCCATGGTCGCCCCAAGGTTCTCATTTCACGGCTTCGCCGCCCGCTGAAGCAAGCTTGCATGGGCTTGTCTGCTGTCGCGCGCAGCCAATGAACCCGGCGCGACCCCAATTGGGAGAACAACTCCTACTGCATGGGCGCATTGTTTGGCGCTGCTTGGCTTTGCTTAGCAACGATTTGTATTGCTTGGCGTTGCTTGGCATTGCGTAGCATTGCTTGGCAGTTCTTGGCATTCCTTTGCATTGCTTGGCACCGCTTGGAATCGCGTGGCATTGCTTGGCATTGCGTGGCATTGCTTCGCATGTATTGGCATCGCTTTGCATGGCTGGACTTTGTCTGGCGTTGCTTAGAATTGCTGTGCAATCACGGGGAACCCGAGGAACGAGACCGGGGAGCCCGAAGAACTCAAGCAAAGAGCAAGACTGGGGAACCCGAGAAAAAAAAACGCGGAACCCGAAGAACCAAGACAAGAAACAAACGGAGAACCCGAGGAACCCAAGCAAGAAACAAGACCAGGGTACCCGAAGAACAAGACTGGGGAACCTAAGGCCCTTATAAAGAAGCAAAGCCGATGAACCCGGGGAACCCGAGAAACCTCCGAAGAACGGGCAACGCAAGACTCGGAGGCACCAAGGAACCCGAGGAACCCGGGGAACCTCCGAGCGACGGGCAACGTAAGAATCGGAGGCACCGAGGGCGAGGAACCCGGGGAGCCCGAAGAACCCTGGAACATCCGAGCAACGGGCAACGTAAGAATCAGAGGCACCAACCTTTAGCCAAGTAAGCATCCCCTGGGCAAGCCTAGTTGGGGAATAAAAAAACGTGGAGCCAGGGAGGCAGGAGGAGGAGGAGGAGAGACGGGCCCAAGGGGGAAGGGCGCCCCTGCCAGTGCGTATGGCCTTTGGAAGATAAGGGCCCGGGGAAATAATCATTTAGGAGCCGCGGAGGAGACGCACGCCCCCGAGGAGGATTCGGATCCCTGCCCCTCCCCAGGAAGCCCAAGCCCTCCGCCCCAAAGACGTCCGAGGGCGACCAGAGACTGGTGTGTTGGGTCGAGCCCCTGCAGAGCACGCGCAACCTCAACAACGCGTGGATGCACTGCCACTTTGTCTTGAAAGCATGTCCGTCTTGCCCCATCCAGCAAGAAGGGGACAAGCGGAGGCCTGCGCCCGAGCACCAGCAGTTTTTCGGGCGCGGCCTCCACGATACACATCTCAAGAGACACGCGTCCCTATCAGTCGCCCGCCAGGTAACAGCCGCGTAGCTTCGAGCAGCCAAGATGCCACGTTGCCCTGCGCACATGACAGGCCCTGTCGGCCCGATCGTCGACCATTCCAGAAGAAAGCAGAAACGCCATGACCATAACTTGTTGGTGCTCCGCGCGGATTTCTTGGATCTGCGCTGGACCCCCCTCCATGGCACGCGGAGCGCGCCAGGGGCGGCGCCGGAGGCGCCGCCGTGGGGGGCCCAGCGCGGACCCGAGAAACCGCGCGGATCGCCGGAAGCGTATGTTCACGGCGTGTTTTCTTTCTCGGCATTCCTTCTTCGAAATGGGAGGCTGCCGTCGGCTTCCAGATCTGCGCTGCAGCCTGGCCTCTCCTGCCCCCAAAACAAAACGGGGGGCGTCGGCGTCCTGGGCCGCCCGACTTCGCGCGTCGCGCCCCGCGGTACGCGACGCTCGGCCATCTCCGCGCCGCCGCGAGGCCACCTTGGATAAGAGCAAGAGCAGCGCTCCGTCGCGCCCCTGGGGGGACCTGGGCTTCCATGTCGCTGCCAACCCTCACCCTATCGGTCGCAACGAGCGCGCCCTTCACGCGGCTGGGCACCGAGTGTGCTAACCCCGTCGGCCGCATGCGGCGGACCTCTGCGTATTCTGCCGGGCCCGAGGTGCCTTGAGAGAGGGCGCGGGGGGGCGTGCTCATGGTTTGGGGGGGGCCCTGGAGCCTAGGCCAAACCTGGCACGGATTACCGTTGCCGTCACCACACACCATAGTCACAGTCGTATCCGCATCCTCAATATAAGCCGAATCATACTCCTCCGCCAGAATCAACACACATTACATCCACCCTCCAGCTCCATACTTTCATCTCCATCTACCTCTCAACCTTCGCCGCGTTCTTCATCCATCCCTTCCTTCGCACGCACGCTGCTGATCTTTCTCCACGCAGAAAATAGCGACCACCAGGAAGCCGACGAAGACCAGTGCGAGACCAGTGACCTGCGGCGGAGTGCAATCATTCCCCTCCGACATTATCTAGGACAACGGTGCGAATGGCGGCGAAAGGACTTGCAACGATCCTGACGTGCTATCACATGACGTAGCGTTCGCTTTTCCTGGAAAGGTGATTCCTGGGAGCTTTCGCGCTACTGAAGCCTGCTGTGGAGCGCAGACGCCAAAACACTAATGTCGCCTGAGAGACTCGCACAAGCAGCACTCGACTGCGCGCGGTCACCTCTATTCAGAATGCGAGCGACTTGCAGCGAACAAGGAGGGCAACTAGGTGCAAAGGCCCGTGGCACCGACTCGCACGCTGGCTCGCAAAACCGTGCTGGCGGGGCCACTGGCAGGCCATGCGCATAATTGTAGCTTGCGCGCGTACGAGGGCGCACAGCCGATGTGCGGCTCGTGGACTTCGATAATGCAGAAGGGGAATCAACATAATAAGAGTACTAATAATAATAACAATAATAATAATAAGAAGAAGCATAATAATGATAATAATAATAATAATAATAATAATAATACGAAGAGTAAAAAAGAATAAAACTAATGATAAGAAACAGTGCGTGAAGCGATAACGTAGCGCGTGCTTCTCCACAGAAGCTCTTTCGGTATGTGGAGCGCGGTGCGCTGAGGGCCGCCAAAGGGGTTCCAGTGCTGCCGGCGGGTACTCGCTACACCTGAACTGGGATAACATGCGTTCCATGGACCATCGCTTGCCGCAAGCCCCCAATCCAATACCGTAGGCCATGTGATTTGGCGCATCGCGCCCCGCGATCCGCGGAGCGCGATTCTCTTCGCGCCGACGCGAGACCACCCTGGAGAAGAGCGGCTTTCCGACCGACGCCGCGGCGGGGAAGCGTGATAATCTTCGCGCTCTGGAGTACCCAGACTGCGCCTGACGGATGCTCGCGACCTCGCCAACAGGCAGCAGCAACGCGCGAACGAGAAGAGCCCGCAGCAGCACGCGGGGCGGAAGAGCGCGGCCCACCCCCTCAGCCGCGCGGCTCTGGGGCTTCGTGCCGAGTGCCGAGCACGCGTGCCAGGGGCAGCGGAGGTCCATGGAGGTCTGGAGAGATCTTCTGAGGCCTCCCGAGCGCCCCAGAGCTCCCCAGAGGTCCCCTGCGTCACCAAGTCTCGCGCCCCGCGCCCCGCGACGCGCAGTCATCCTCGCGCCCTCGCGCCGCCGCCCTCGAGAAGGGGTGCTTTTCCCAACCATCCTGTGGTGTTGGGTCCTCGATTTGAAGAGTCAGCGCCCCGCGTCCACTCCCTCCTTTTTCCTCGCCCTCCTCCCATCCCTGCCTCTGCCCTCCGCAGGTAAAGAGTGTCAACGCATCCTACCACGTTTCGATGCCCAACAGGTAGCTCCACCTAAGGCCCCAATGGCAGCGCCCGCACAACACCACCGCGCCCGTTTCGGCACACCCTCACACGTTTCGTCGCCCCATAAGAAGCTCCCCAGAAGGTCCCAGAGGCAGCGCCCGCATGGCACCACCGCAACCGTTCTGGCACACTCTTCACACGCTTCGTGGCCCCATAGGGAGCTCCACCGAAAGTCCCTGTGGCAACGCCCGCATGGCACCACCGCACCCGATTCGGCACGCCCCTCACACGGCTCGTGGCCTCAAAAGAAGCTTCACCTAAGGCCCCAATGGCAACGCCCGCATGGCACATCCGCGCCCGTTTTGGCACACCCGCGGCACACTTCGTGGCCTCATGGGCAGATCCACCTAAGGCTCCAGTGGCAGCGCCGGCACACCCTTCACATCTTTCGTGGCCCCAAAGGGAGCTCCACCGGAGGTTCCAGTGGCAGCGTCCGCATGGCACCGTCGCACCAGATCCGGCACACTCCTCACAAATTTCGTGGCCCCATAAGGGTCTCCTTCGAAGGTCCCAATGGCAGCGCCCGCATGGCACCACCGCATCCAATTCGGCACACGCTTCACACGTTTCGTGGCCCCACAGGGAACTCCACCGAAACCGTCACCCACAAAAAGGTCCTCACAACTGCATATGATTGAGTTTTTCGCCTGGATAAGCTATCCTGGGGGGGAGGAGACGGCCGATAACCTAACCTTCGCGCTGTGGGCAGCCCTGCATATGCCCGCGCGCACATGTGCTGCGGCCCCTACTGCTGGTAACGATGCTGTAACGATGCTGCTGTTGGTGCTGCAACGATGCGGGCGCCGTCTGAGAATACAGCTAGTATTGGGATACACGGGATGGGATTGCTGAGAGTAACCGCTGAATCTTGTGTACACTATAGTGCACGCGTGCACCAATGCCTGAACTTTACAAAGAATGCCTACGCCACGACGCTCTTGTGCACCACAGGTGACCGCTGCAGCAGCAGCTTCTGCTTGCACCACAGCGCCAGTGTACACCCCGATGCTTGTGCACACCACAGGAGCCGCGTGCACCACAGAGCATGGCGAACATTTGAGCCACAGCGCTTCTGTGCACAAGTTACTTGTGATTATACATTTCTGGCCTGAGGTACGGTCTCCCCGATTGGGGCCGACCACGTCTGTGTACACAACAATGCCCGTCTAGTGTACACCACGACGCCTTTGCACAGCACAACTGCTTGTGCAAACCGCGCCGCACGTCTGCACATCAGTGCTTGCGTGCACCACAATGCCTATGTACACGACAACATCTGTGTGCACGGCAGCGCCTGTGTACATCACAACACCTGTGTACAATGCGACGCTTATATGTACCACGGTTGCTGCTTCAGTTCCATGTGTGGACTACAGCTCGGGTGCACCAAAGTGCTTATGTATACCACAGAACTGCTGCGTACAGCTCCAAGGCCCCAGCGGGACCGAAGTCCAGAAAGTCGTAAGGAATCCGAGCGTATCAAGTCCAATATGTATGTTATGTGTGATTAATATTTTTTCTGGCGAACAGAATGTCCCGTCTTTTGGGCGCACAGCGCCTGTGTACACCGTGGCACCATAGCGACAGCCCAGGATGCGGAGCGAAAAGTGCCGCTGTCCTCGAGCTCTCGCGGGTGACCTGGGGGTGCCCCAAAAGTCCCCGTGGGATTCCTCCGGGGGGATTCTGGAGATCCCCAGAGCTTCTCTCTCTCTATGTATATATTTCCCAATCAGTGCTTGCCTCTGTAGGGGTCCTAGCGGATTCGCATGGTTAGGTGAAAATTGCCGCCGATTTCCGCGGCCCGCCTGGGTGCCCAGGTGCCCCGGTGCCCGGGTGCCTTACAGCCCTACAGCCCCATAGCCCCATAGCTCTATAGCCCTATAACCCAATAGCCCTACAACCCTAAAGCCCGATAGCCTTATAGCCTTATAGCCCTATAGCCTTATCGCCCTGGAGCCCAGCCCAACGTAAAACGGAAGGACGTCTCGGGCGGGAGCGCTGGTTTTGTCGGGGCGGCGGTTTTCAGCGGCGAGGAGGAGCACCGCCTTGAGTAAAAAGGGAGGAAGCCTCGAGCGGGAGCGTTGTTTTTCCTGGGGGCGGCGCTGATGAGAGAAAGAGTAGCGCGCCTGTCCAAGGTAAAACGGGAGGACGTCTCGAGCGGGAGCGCTGGTCTTGTTAGAACGGCGGCTTTCGGCGGCGAGCAAGAACACCAGCCCTGCGTAAAATAGGAGGAAGTCTCGAGCGGGAGAGTTGTTGGGGAGCCAGTTTTGGCGGTCCCCCAAACCGCTCGAGCATGAGCCTCATTTACAAAGAAAATGTAGCCGGCGCCTTGGCGAGAGCACCAGGGCGCCTATAAGGGGTCCAACAATAATAATTTAGTAATTAACATCCAACAGCAACAACAATAATAACAACAACAACAACAACCCCACCACCAACAACAACAACAACAACGACGACAACAACAACAGCAGCAGCAGCAACAGCAACAGCAACAACAACAACAAAAACAATAAGTTTAGGACTGATCGCTCTATCTGCCCGCGTGTCACCCAACACATATATCCCAAACCCTCGAAACCCGCCTTCTTCGTCTTCGATCGTACCCCCTTAAGGGTATACCTTCCTTACCTGCAGCGTGTATTTCGTGCAGCCCCTGAGGCAGGGGAAGAGATGACGGATGGAAGGAAGGGACGAGGGGAAAGGAGGATAATGGAGCACGAGAGAGAGAGAGAGACAAAAGGGGGGCTAGGAGCAAAAAACAAGTGGCAGAACCAGACGGGCAAATCGGGCGGGCAGGCCCTTGCGGGCGGGTCGGGAAGGCAGGCACATGCGGCCATGTCGAGAAAGCGGGTTGCTGAAGCGTACGTCCTGCATGTATCGCAAGGGAGTCTCGAGCGACAGCGCAATATGCAACGGGGCCACGAAGAGTAGAGAGGGGGCCGCGAAGAAACGGGGCCACGAAGGGCAGCGAGGTAGGACACGAAGGGCTGCAACGGGGCCACGAAGGGCAGCGAGGGGGCCGCGAGGCGCTGCAACGCGGCCACGAACGGCTGCAACGGGGCCACGAAGGGCTGCGAGGGGGCCACGACCGGCAGCGAGAAGGCCACGAAGGGCTGCAACGGGGCCACGAAGTGCACCGAGGGGGCCACGAAGGACTGCAACGTGGCCACGAAGGGCAGCGAGGGGGCCACGAGGCGCTGCAACGGGGCCACGAAAGGCAGCGAGATCCTGACTCCTAAGTGAGCCGTGAGCGAGTCCTAGGCGTGAACGCGACTCCTGGGTGCCTGAGTGTCGGGAGCGCGGCGCTTGAGTAAATTGCGAGCGAGTCTCCAGCGAGAGCGCGACTCCAGAGCGCCGAGAGAGCGATTTCTACCTACATTGCAAAAAATCCTAAGCGAGAGCGCGATCCCTGAGCAAAATACGAGATGGTCTCAGGCGGGAGCGGGGTTCCTGGCTAAATTGCGAGGAAGCCTCAGGCGGGAGCCGTGGTTGTTGTAACCCGGGGGACAGGGGCGCAGTTTGGCCCGTGTGACTTTCCCTGGCAAGAAAACGAAGGTGCGAGCCCCGCGGGAAGCAAGTCAGTTGAAACATGCAGAGAGCGCACTGGAGGTGGATCAAACATAATTGTTATTCAGTAGTGAGAGGTCGACATCAACAACAACAGCAGCAGCAGCAGCAGCAACAACAACCATCATTTTAAACTGTTCGCTCTTACTGGCACGCGTGTCTTACATTCAGTATACCCCAACCCTCGATACCCGCCCAGCTCGTCTTCGATTGCACCCACTTTCAGGGGGAATCTCTTCCTTGTCGGCCACTTACTGAAGTGCGAAGAAGTCTCGAGCGAGTGCCGTTCCTGAGTTCGGGTGCCTCTCTGGCCAGGGGCTCTCGGAATACCTATGGACAAATATCAAGCGGGAACCCTTGTCGCCGTGTCTGGGCCTCCACCAGCTTGCCTGAATTGCAAGAGAGTCTCGAGCGAGAGCGCCGGTCCTGAGTTCGGGGGCCTTGGCCTTCTTGGCCAGGGGCTCTCGGAGTAAATCGTGGGGAAATATCGAGCAGGAGCTCTTGTCGTCGTGGCTGGGCCTCCGCCAACTTGATGAATTGCAAGGAAATCTCGGGCGAGAGCGCCGTTCCTGAGTTCGCGCGCCTTTCTGGCCAGGGTGCCTCGGGGTAAATCGTGAGGACCTATAAAATGGGAACCGTTGTCGTCGAAGCTGGGCCCAACGCTCGAGCTGGAGCCTCGTGTTCAGAGAAAATGCATCCGGCGTCGAGGCGAGAGCGCGCGGAACCGTTTCTGGAGATCAACAATAGTTGTTCTTTAGAATTGAGTGTTAACAACAACGACAGCAACCTCAACAACAACAACAATGACAACAACTGCAGCAACAGCAACAGCAGAAACAACACCAACACCAACAGCAACAACAGCATAAGCATCAGCAGCAGTAGCAGCCGCAACAATAACAACCACGATGCGCTTACGACTGTTCGCGCTTTTACCTGCTCGATCGCCCGTCAACAAATATGTCCAACACCCTCGGTACCCACCCTCTTCCTCTTCGATCGTACCCGCCTGGGGGTATCTTCCGTATCTGCCGCATGCAAATGGAACAGACCTTGAAAAAAAAACAGAAGAGAGGACGGATGGAAGGGGGAGGGAAAAGGATGGAGCATGGGATTAGCAGGGGGCACTCGGATCACAACGCACATGGCAGAACCAGACGGGCCCAGTGCGTGTGGTGGGTGCAGCCCCTAAAACAGGGGAAGGGAAAACGGATGGAACAAGGAAGGAGAAGGATGGAACACGGGATTGGCAGGAGGGGCGCGGCTAGGAGCAGAAAGCGCGGGGCAGAACCAGACGCGCCCATCGGGCGGGTAGACCCTAACTGGTCGGGAGGCGATTCCCAAATAAATCGTGAGAAAAACCCATGCGAGACCGTGATTCCTGAGTGTCGAGGGCGCGGCATCTGAAACAATTGCCGGAAGTCCCACGCGAGAGCACGATCCGTGCATACATTGTGAGGAAGTCCCGCGCGAAAGCACGATTTTACAATGAGCTGTCAGGTAGTATCTGGCGGAAGCCGATGTTGCTGTTGCTGTTGAACTTTCACTACACAACAAGAACTAATGTTGATCCCCCCCTTCTGGTGCACATTGGATTTGTTCAATTGAAGTGCCCCTCCCGGGGCTCGCACCCGGTTTTCTTTTATCAAGGAATGTCATCATCCTCAAACTGTGTTGTTGGCCCCCGGGGTACGACAACAACGGCTCCCGCCGAACATTTCCTCACAATTTAGCAAGGATCGCCGATCCCGCCCGACATTTCCTCGCATTTTATGCAGGAATCGCGCTTTCGCTTGGGACCCCCTTACAATTTATTTCGGAATCGTTCTCTCGGCGTTCTGGAGTCGCGCTCTCGCTGGAGACTTGCTTGCAACCTACTCAAGAATAGCGCCATTGCGTTGGAATTTCCAGCAAAGTACTCAAACGCCGCGCTCCCGACACTCGGGCACCCAAGAGTCGCGCTCACGCTTAGGACTCCCTCACATATTACTCAGGAATCGAAAGATCGCTGCCCTTCGTGGCCCCGTTGCTGCCGTTCGTGGCCCCCTGGATGCCCTTCGTGGCCCCCTCGCTGCCCTCCGTGGCCCCGTTGCAGCCCTTCTGGCCCCCTCGCTGCCCTTCGTGTCCCCGTTGCACCCCTTCGTGGCCCCCTCGCTGCCCTTCGCGGCCCCGTTGCAGCCCTTCGTGGCCCCGTTGCAGCCCTTCGTGGCCCCCTCGCTGTCCGTCGTGGCCCCATCGCTGCCCTTCGTGGCCCCGTTGCACCCCTTCGTGGCCCCCTCGCTGCACTCCGCGTCCTGGTTGCAGCCCTTCGTGGCCCCCATCGCTGCTGCCCCTCGTGGCCCCGTTGCAGCCCTTCGTGACCCCCTCGCTGCCTTTCGTGGCCCCGTTGCAGCCCTTCGTGGCCCCCTCGCTGCCCTTCGTGGCCCCGTTGCAGCCGTTCGTGGCCCCCTCGCTGCCCGTCGTGGCCCCGTCGCTGCCCTTCGTGGCTCCGTTGAACCCTTTCGCAGCCCCCCGCTGCACTTCGTGTCCCCGTTGCAGCCCTTCGTGGCCCCCATCGCTGCCCTTCGTGACCCCGTTGCAGCCGTTCGTGGCCCCCTCGCTGCCCTTCGTGGCCCCATCGTTGACCGTCGTGGCCCCCATCGCTGCCCTTCGTGGCCCCGTTGCACCCCTTCGTGGCCCCCTCGCTGCACTTCGCGTCCCGGTTGCAGCCCTTCGCGGCCCCCCGCTGCACTTCGTGTCCCCGTTGCAGCCCTTCGTCGCCCCCATCGCTGCCCTTCGTGACCCCGTTGCGGCCGTTCGTGGCCCCCTCGCTGCGTTTCGTGGCCCCGCTGCAGCCCTTCGTGGCCCCCCCGCTGCCCTCCGTGGCCCCGTTGCACCCCTTCGTGGCCCCCTCGTTGCCCTTCGTGGCCCCATATATGCATGCCCTTCGTGGCTTCGCCCGTCGTGGCCCCGTGGGCATGCCCTTCGTGGCCCCGCTGCGCCCCTTCGCGGCCCCCTCGCTGCACTTCGTGTCCCCGTTGATGTCCTCAGTGGCCCCATCCTTGCCCTCCGCGGCCCAATATACGCACGCCACTCGTGGCCCCCACTCGTTCGCGCCCGTAGTGGCCCCATGCGCGTGCCCTTCGCGGCCCCGCCGTCGCCCTTTGCGGCCCCCATCGCTGTCCTACGTGGCCCGGTTGCTCCCTTCAGTGGCCCCGTCGTTGCCTTCTGTGGCCCCGCATTATTTGCCCTTCGCGGCCCCCGCTCATTCGCGCTCTTCGTGGCCCCAATGCGCATTCCCTTCGTGTCCCCGCTGTCGCCCTTCGTGGCATATTTCGTGTCCTTCGTGGCCCTGCCGTCGTTCTCTCTCTCGCTCTCGGTTTCGCTCGTCGTCGTCGTCGTCGCCGTCGTCGTCGTCGTCGTGGTCGTTCCCCTGTCCGTCCCTTTTGGGGTCGGGCTACCGCCGATCAGCGCTGCCGCTGGCCAGGCCGGCAGTCCGCGGCCGCCCCGCGTCTTGCCAGGGCACGGCCTGCAGGGAAGAACGGTCTACCCCCCAAGTGGGGCACAATCGAAGACGACGGGGGCGGGTATCGAGGGTTTGGGGAATATGCGTGAACGGACACTCGAGCAGGTAAGAGCGAACACGATTAAGATGGTTGTTGCTGTTGTTGCTGAAGTCTGGGGCACAACAACACATTTTGGTGGCACCAAGCTTCTTCTCTTCCTGTAGTTCAAAAAAGTGCGGGGCCAACACATATTCTTCTTTAGCAATGTGAGAACAACAACAAACACAAAACCAAAACACTGAAGAACCACCACCAAAATCGAACACCTCAGATCGACAATGATCAACATCAGATCACACAACAAAACAAAGACAACCAATTTGAGCTCGGGGGGCCTGGGGAACTGCCCCAATTGCCTCCTTTTCCCTCCTCTCCTCGTCCTCTTCCTCCTGTTCCCCCTTTATGCCCTATCTCCCTCCCGCCTACAAGCTCCCATCCTCTCGCCCATCCCACTCCCTCCTCCACCTTGTCTTCCTCCTCTTCCTCCTCCTCCTCCTCCTCCTCCTCCCTTCCCCCCTCCCCCACCTCCCGCCCCGTCCTCCGCATCCTCCGCCTCTACGTCGTGCCGTTCATCTTCTATCCTCCCCCCTCTGCCTCCTCCCTCCTCCCTCGCTGTGCCGATCCTCCTCCCTCCCTCCCCCTCGTGCCGATCGTCCTCCCTCCTCGCCCTCTCCTGGCGCGACTGGGGGCGGTCATTCGCCCGCGTGCCCGCGTGGCCCGCCCGAGCCACCCACCGAACACGGCGAGCAACAGGACGGCAACGTGGCCGATCGCGTCGCCCGGCAGGAGGAGGAGGAGGAGGATCGAGGAGGAGGATCGAGGAGGAGGATCGAGGAGGAGGATCGAGGAGGAGAAGGAGGAGAGGGAGGAGGAGAAAGAGGAGGAAGGAATCGAGGAGGAGGAGGATCAAAGAAAAAGCCCTGGGCGTCCCTCCTCCTCGCCCGCCTCCGGCTCGCCGAGAGTGGGGCGGCGCGGAGGGGCCACGAGGCCGGGCGCGAAGACAGCGAGGCTGGGCATCTGCGGCATCACCGAGCACCGCAGGAACAGGAGCACCTCGACAGGCGCGTTCGTCTCGGGGATGACGGATCGAGCTTCGATGATGAACGGACCGAGCTTCGAGCTCGTGCCGAGGACCGTAGATCGAGCACGTGACTCGCCTCGAGGATCGAGGACCGAGGATCGAGGATGGAGGTTCGCGGACGTTGCTCGTTTCGAGGATCGAGGCCCGACATTCTGATCATCGGTTAACCGATCTCTATCCCTACTGGCGTGGCCTGGGCTCCACTGGCCGATTTACCCCAATGGATAGGGATAAGGACTGTTCCCTCCAGGTTCCCAGTGGCCTGTCCCCAATTGGGGGGGGGATGGTAGGGCTGAGATGCCATGGTTCGGTGGGGATCGGTTTCATACGAGAACGGCACCTATGCACCGTACCATGCATAGTTACAGCCCCCCCTCCAACACGGTAGAATGCATAGTTTGTCGGCTCTGATTGGCCAAAAACCTGTGCACCGTACATTTCGTGGGTCGAAGATCGACGACACCCTGAGAGACGCCAGCGCGGTACGGTGCACACGACCCGTCCGCAGATTTAACGGTACTGACCTGAGGCCGCACAGGAGGCAACGAGCCGCCCCCCCTCCATTTGCCTTCCCTATTCTGTTCGTTCTCCTCTGCCTCTTCCTCCTCCTCCTCATCATCACCTTCTTTTCCTCCAAACCTCCACACCTTGTCTAGATGGCTACTACTCCCATGTCACCGCCAATGTTGCCTTTCTACCGGAACTCGCCGTCGAATTCGCCGAAACCGTATACCGAAATGCACAGTTGCGATCGAGACCCAGGTAGGAGGAGAGAGAGCTTTGCACATGCCCCGATGCTGGCACGGCCAAAATTGGTGCATGTGAACTCTCCTCGCCCGATTGGGCACGCCCACCATCATCATCGTCCTCATCATCGTCCTCATCACCATCATCAACAGCATCATAAGCACCACCAGCATCACCATAACCAACATCATCAGCAACATCAGCATCATAGGCAGCATCACCATCAACACCATCAAAATCAACAGCATCATCATCAGCATCATCAGCTGCATCATAATCATGTGGCCCAGCTCCTGTACCTGCGCCAGAAATGAACAGCATATCCGATAGCAATAAAGGGCCTGAGAGCAGGCCAGATAAATTTCACACTGATCAGAGGCACTGAAATGAATGCCGAAACCCCCAGGTTTGCTGAGCAGGAGGGAGAAAGGGACAGGCTTGGTGATAGCCAGAAAAACGTGACCCATCGTGTCCATGGAGATGACCGATGCCCTTCAAAACAGCGAGGTGCTCAACCTGCAGACAACAGTCCCGAGCAAACACATACAGGCGGCTCTGCTCATTAATCACCGCCAAAGATGAACAGCATATCCGATGGCACTGATGGGCCTGGGAGCAGGCAAGATGAATGTCGCACTGATCGAAGGCACTGAAATTCGCGCCGAAACCCCCGACCCCAAGATTGGGACTGTCCGCAGGCGAAACGCGAAGCGTCAAAAAGAAGACCGCACACATACTCAACAGACAGTTGTGGACAGGGTTTGCTACTAGCGTCATAAATTGTCCAGCTGCCGCCCTTCCGACGAATTTCTCATGCTTCTCATTCGTGGCCAAACAACGGCATCGTTGCATCACGCATTTACTGGGATTTGCAAGCTGAGGGCACCCGTAAGCGAGCAAGGACGTGTTCTTCTGCCACGGGGTCCCGCACTGACAACAACTCGCAGTAAACATATCAGCTCAAAACGCCGCAAATAATGGAACTGTCGTATAAGCCAAACCATCGAGGTCATGAAGTTTTCGATGGCCACCCGACTTCGGGCTTCCTGGCGCGGACGAATAAGGGCCGCCGAGGCGCGCATGAGCGCGCTGCCTAAGCGGGCCCCCTTAAAATCCGTTTCACCGAGGTCGGGGATACCAAGCAGCCCGCGCCCCGGATCCCTGAGAGGGGCGGGGCCAGCCCCCCCCCCCCAGGCCCTGGGCCAGGCGGCGCAGGGGGCCCCCAGCCACGAGGCGACAGAACGGGGCGCCGTCAAGGGCGACAGGGGCACGCCAGGCGTCAGCCCCGGAGAGGCCCTGTTCAGCTGCACGCGCGACGTCGAAGGCACATGCCGCGACGCCTCTTCTCGCGAGCTCACGCGAGAGGCGGCTGCAACCAGCGAAGACCTCGATGCAGTCGCGCCGGCGGCCGGCGCCTGGCGGCGGCCCAACGCAACTGCATGGGCGGCGCGCAGGCGGCCCTCGCTGCGAGCGCCCGCTCGCGGACCTTCCGCGCCAGCCGCGCCCCCTCGCGCCGTGGGCGCGCCGCCGCCCCGCGGGGCCGCATCGGGGCATCGGCGCTCCAGCGGCCTCTCTGCTCCACCTCCGGGGGCGCCCTCGAGCTGCCCCTCCTGTCCTCGGAGGGGCCGCCGTGGCGGAGCTGGCGCGGGGCGCGGGCCTTCTCCAACCGCGCCCCCGCCTGCGCCGCAGGGAAGAGCGCGTTGAAGCGGGACATCTTGAAAGGGAAGATCCGCGGATCCACCGCCCTTCTCACCGCCAGGATCAGCGCCTGGCCGACGAAGCCCCGACGAGGGCGGTCGATCGGCAAACTCTCGCTCGCGAAGCACGCGAAGCAAAGCACCGCCAGCGGCGCCGCCAGCGGCCCCTCCCCCAGGCGACCATCACCCGGGCCACCAACGCCGCGACGATCCACGGCATGGACGGCCTCGCGGTCGCTGGATGGAGCCTCGCCCAGTCCTGCGGGCCACGGCGCGCGCGGGGCGGCGAGGCCCCCCCTCGGCCCACCAAGGGCGCGTCGCCAGCAAGGCCGCGTGCTGCACTTGCCCCGCGGAGCAGTCGTCGCCGCCGGCGTGCATCTCCTGCGCCAGCTCGGCCATGGCGACGTCCGCCGTCTCGACCGAAGTGACGGCCAAGTCCCGGCGGAGGCGAAAGGCGCGCGGCCGCCTGAGGGCGCCGTGGTAGCGGGGCCAGGGGGCCGGCTTCACGGCCGCCAGTGCCAGGTCGTTGGCGACGCCCGAGCCGAAGGAGTGCAACCTCCCTGATGTCGTGCCAGAGCGTCGCTGACAAAGATATCAAACTGGTCTGCTTGGCAAGGCCCCTGGACGAAGCGCGGCGCCTCCGAGTCACGGAGGAGCGCCTCATCGCCACCCCGCAGCCGCGAGCAACCATCCGCGGCGTTCAGCTCCGAGGGATGCCAGCGATGTCGGACCTGCCCATCGGCGGCGATAGAGCGAGTGGGCGCCGACATATGAGCGCAGAACGAGCGATATATTATCCCCATCACGTAGAAGTGAACAGCCGAGAGGCCCAAGCGACCGCAGCTGATGTCTGAGGGCCGCCACAGAGCCCATACCTCCCAGTCAAATGATGCGTTCGGCCTCCGAGAATCGCGCCGCGAAGGAGCTGCCGGCCCATGAGGTCCAGGAGCTCCTGGGGGACCACGGTCAAGACCGGGCTCTCGTCGAGGGCCTCCTGAGCACCCTGCGGGCCCATGGGTTTGACCGCGCTAACAATGCTGAAGACGTCCGTGCCATTGAGAGAGCGGCCCCTGGCTCGGATCGCGAGGGCGCCCGCCTTGCATCTAGACTTCTCCTCGGCGCCCCCCTGCTTCCCGACGACATCTGGAGATATCACCCGAGAGCGCGCCGCATAGCCCGTAAGACACGCATCCGCAAGCGTCGCCCCCTTGAACTCCATGGCCTATCGAGCCGCGCCCTGCAGGGCGGCAACAGAGCAATGAACCAACGAATCTCACGACAGACCGAAACCCAGACGCGAGAACGGGGGCCCGCGTGAGCTGCTATGAAAGCGTAGACGCGATGGAAGATCGCAAACATATCAAGATGCAAGAGACAAAAATGAGCGCAGTGGCCAACGAGCCGTTCCAACACTTGGCCAACGACGCGGGGGCGCCGGAGAAGCCGCAGCCCCGCGGCCATCGGCAGCTCCAGCTTGCGGCCCATCGGCGCGACGGCCCTCTCGCGGCCCAAGCCTCTGTAGCCCAAGGTACCAGCGCCCACCGAAGGGCCGTAGAACTCGCGGACGACGAACCCGATGCTACAGAAATGCTCCACCAGCTCGCCCCCGCGCGTCCCGACGCTCTGCGAATCGGGGCCTGCGACATTCAAGTTGCCAGCGTAGGCCAGCAGCGCGGGCTTGCCCTCTGACATGTCGGGCGCAGGCTTCTCGTCGCTCATGATGCGGTCCACTGGCTATGTCCGCAGCAGATAGCCCGGTGCTAGACCATGCGCTGCGCGACCCAGATCGCCCAAGTCCATTCCATGGGCGCCACCGCCAGGGCCGGCGCCACCATCGAGCCGTCGGGCAGCTCCTCGACGTCCGCGGGAAGGCGGCAGCGCCCTCGCGGCCAGGGTGCCGGCGGCGGCAGCGCGAATCAGTCCGACAGCTCGGGGTCGATCGCCAAGTGGTAGAAGTAGTTCCCGAAGTCCGCCTGCGCAGTGAAAACCTCGTTCTCCATGGCGACATGTTCAGCTTCGGGCACTTGGTAAAGCGAGTCTTCACAGACCTGCCACCCCAGACGACCCTCAGCTTGCCCGATTTCTCGGCGTGCCCAACCGCCGCCCCCAGGCGCCCTTGCGCGTCATGAGGCCCCTGCGGCATGGGCTGCCGTCGAGCCGCCCTCGCCGCCCTTGGCCCTGCCCTGGCCCTCGCGATCGCCCCCCCCCCCCCCCCCCTCGCCGCGCACGCCCCCTCTGCTTGAGCTGGTCTGCCGCGCGCGCCGACAGGCTCGGCGCGATGGCTGCACCGCCAACCCTGCGACTCCAGCCCGTGAGCTGGTCGGCGGCGCTGTAGTCGGGCTGGCTCGGCGAGATGCAGCGAGCCCCCTTGATCGTCGCCATCCTGCGCGCCGGGAGCTCGAAGCACATCGGCGGCGGACAATTGAGATGGCCCTGCATCGCAGCCGCGTCGAGGACGCGACTTAACACCTCATGCTCGCAGATGCACCTGTCAGCTGCGGGCGCCTGCGAGAGCCTGACCCAGTTCTCTCGCGCGCGAGAGGCACTGTTACCATAATCTCTCACGTACTTCATGCGCCAATGGGCCGTGCTCGGCCCTTGAAGGCCCCATCCGCCTGGGACCGAGTCCTTCGACGAGCTGGCGGCGGCATCGCCCCAGGTCCTGCGACGTTCTCCCCGGGCGTCCATCTTCACGGCCATCGAGAGAACATCCCCGCGAGCCAGCACCAGGGCGTCGGGCGGAGAGAGCTGCGCCGCGCTCAGCGACTGCCCCCCCCCCCCCCCGCCTGCACGATGGCCCCGCCGCCCATCGCCGCCGAGCCCGCAGGCCGCTGGCGGCGCTCAAGGTCGCCCGCCGCATGTCCTGCGCGGTCCGCGCGCGCCAACTCAAGCCAGCAGGGGGCAAGAGCATGCCACCTGCCGCAGGCGCCGCCGCGCCCGCAGCTCCGACGAGCCCAGGCGGGATGCCCAGCGCGGGGCCCGCCGCCGCGCCGATCGCCGCCGCCAAGGGCGCCCCGCCGCCAGGCGCGATCAAGCCACCCCCCACGGCAACAGGGCTGGCGGCGCCAGGACCCGCCATCGCACCGCCTGCAGCGGCGGGCAGAAGCACGCCAGCGCCAGAGGCACCGCCCCCAGCAGCTCCAGCGACCCCGCCCGCGGTTCCTGCGACAGGCGGCTGGGCGAAGTGGAACGCCAGCGGCAGCGGCGCGCAAGCCACACCCAGCGCGTGGGCGCCCAGCATAGAGTAAGCGTCGACCATCGGCTGCGGAGGCGCCGCGCGGAAGCCGTAAATGCCCGCGGCCGCGGTCTCAAGCGGCAGCCCCAATGCATGCGTGAGCACCATGACGTCGCTGAAGTCGGCGCCAACAGCGGAACTTTCCTCGTAGTGGCGTAGTTGTCGTGGTCGGGCGTGAGCCCGTGCGACACGCTGGTCCCAGGCCGCACTTCCAACGCCAGCCTCGCGTGATACACCGCGGGCCCAGGGACACCACGATACCTCGCCAGGAGGAAGTCCCCGGGGCTGAAGGCGGCCATCGGCTCCCGCGACCACCAACGGCGAAGGCGCGCCGCACACGCAGGTCGCCACGGGCGGCGGCGGGCACGCGAGGCTCGGCGAGCATTCGGGGCAAGGAGTAGTGCCCACCCAGAACGCCAGCCCTGTACTGACCCCGCACGCGAGTTCGAAAACGAAAGCGCGGGCGACTTGCACAGCCAGAAAAACTTGAGCCATCGTGTCCATGGAACAGACCGATGCCCTTCAAGACGGCGGGGTTCTCAACCCGCAGACAACATTCACGAGCAAGCACATCCATCATGATCATCAGCACCATCACCATCATCAGCACCATCATCATCAGCATCACCACCATCACCATCAGCATCACCACCATCATCACCATCGTCATCATCACTATCAGCATCATCAACAACTTGAACACCAAGAAGAACATCAGCACCAACTACAACGGCAGCACCAACAACGGCATCATCAGCATCAACAGCAACATCTAGATCCTCACTATCATCCTCCTCCTCAATTTCATCATCAGCAGCAACAGCATCATCACCAACACCACCATCTTCATCAGTATCATCAACAGCATCAGTATCCTGACCATCACCACCATCATCGTCGCAGGCTTCGTACATGTGTTTCATTATCGTCATCATCATCATCATCATCATCATCATCATCATCATCATCATCATCATCATCATCATCGTCATCAGCATCATCACTAGCAACATCAGCACCATCATCACCATCGCCATCATCATCCTCACCATCAGCATCACATTATGATATTGCCTCGCATACTTCATACTCATCATCTGCATCGTCATCATCATCATACTCATCATTATCAGCAGCATCATCATCACAATCACCAGAACCATCTTCATCATCAGCATCACTATCAGCAGTATCAGCATCATGCACAGGAACAGAAACATCAACAACACCAACAACAACACCAGCAACAACGTCAACAGCAACAGCAACAGCATCAACAACATCAGCAACAACCGCAGCAGCTGCAACCTCATCAACCTTCATCATCATCAATCAATTTCAACCTCCTCGTCCTCATCCTCATCATCAACCGTATCATCATCACCAGCATCATCACTTATACCACTTGCATCGTCGTCATCATAATCATGATCATCATCATCATCAGCAGCATCATCATCATTATCCTCACCACAACCACCATCATCTTCTCCTGCGTCGTGTCCTACTTCCCCATCATAATCATCATCCTCATCAGCATCATCATCATCCTCATCATCATCAGCAGCATCAATATCCACAACATCATCCTCATCATCCTCACCATCCTCAACATCAACATCGTAATCATCCTCATCGTCAATGACATCGGCATCCTCATCGACATCGCGGACGTCGTCGACATCGTCATCGCATTCACCATCTTCATCACCGTGATCCGTCTCCCCGTCCAACTCCTCCTCCTCCTCCTCCTCCTCCTCCTGCTCCTGCTCCTCAATATCATCATTGCCTTCATCATCTCGCTACCGCTACGCCTCCTCGCCTGTTCCTCACGATCGTGATGACGCGAGGGTTTCCCAGGGGGACCTCGAAGTCGCTCCAAGCTTCCTCTTAGCGCGTCCTGCCTGTATCCTCCTCCTCTCGTCATCTTCCTCCACCCCTCATCATCATCCTCATCCCGCCGTCCTCCATTCTCTGCCTCTTATCCTCATCCTCCTCCTGCCCCTCCCCATAATCCTTGATCTTCCTCCTCGATCTTCCTCCTCCCGCTCCCCCTCCTCTCCCTCCCCCTCCTGCTCCTGCTCCCCCTCCTCTCCCTCCCCCTCCTGCTCCTGCTCCTCCTCCGCCTCCTCCTCCTCCGCCTCCCCCTCCTCCTCCTCCCAATCACGATCCTCATCGGCACAGGGCCCCCACCATCCTCGGCCCCGCTGGGACAAAGCCGCCGCCGGCGGGCCGAGCGAGGGCGCGCTGAGCGACACCAGGGGCAGCCACAGCAGCACGAAGGAACCGACGCAGCTCGCCTGCCGCTCGACGACGACGACGACGACGACGACGACGCGGACGACGACGACGACGACGACGACGCGGACGACGCGGACGACGCGGACGACGCGGACGACGCGGACGACGACGACGACGACGACGACGACGACGACGACGACGACGACGACGACGACGACGACGACTCGCAAACTGCGCTGCGTCCCGCGCTCCCAGAGGCCACGATGCCACTCAAACTGCGCTGCGTCTCCTGTTTACACGGCCACGATGACTTGCAAATCGCGACCGCGCCCCCCGCTCCCAGGACATCCAGACGCCAGGGTCATCTTGGGCGCTGGCACAACGTGTGCGCACTCCTGGCCGAGGCCAGGAGACCCTGCGCGCCTCCCCCAGCGGCCCAGGAATGCCTGTGGCCAAGCACAGGACGTGGGGGCGCCGCGAGATAGGCACAAGGGGCGCCCTATGCAAGGGAGCAAACAATGACATACACGTAAAAGCTCGGAGGCCCGCGCGGAATTCTTGCATCGGCGCTGAAGCCCCTTGGCAACGCCTCCGGCGCCGCCCCTGGCTCCGGGTGCCAAGGAAGGGGCCCAGCGCCGATCCAAGACACCCGCGTGGACCACCGCAACATGCCTTTGGCATTGTTTGTTCCCCGACTTTGCCCCCGTTCTCGGGCCGGCGGGGGGCGCCCTCAGGACCGACGCGGCCCTGCCGTGCCGCTCCGTACGCAGACGGCCTCTGCACACCACCACCGTGCCTGGCCACGGCCACCCGGGCCCCTCGCTCACGGGGCGCCGCGCGCCGCGCGTCTGCGGCGCGCCGAGGCCGCAAGAGCGATCCGCTGCGCAGCCCTGCGAGGGAGGCTCGCTCGACAGGAGCGGCACGCCTGCCCCCGCCGCGAGTGCGGCGCCGGGAAGGCTGAAATCCGTCGGGCGATTGGCGGCCTGGGCACGGCGCGCACAGTCAAGCCATCAGGAACACAAAATGAGGCAAGCGGCCCCTTGTTGGCCTCAAGAGCGCCTGGGTGCACCCTGGAGCAACAGCGACCCCTTCCGAACCCGAACTGTTCTTTGCTTGAGCGTCTTGACTACACGCCCTCCTGGCAAAAGCAAAAACGGCCGAATTGCATGCCGTCCGCAGGGGCAAAGGACGGGCCTTGGCCAAGGGGTGCGGCGGTGTGTACATGAGCCCTGTGCGGAGCTCGCACCAGCGCGCAGATGACCACCACAGGCGCCTTTGCGCCGTTCATGTTCGGGAACCTCCTCTTCCTCCTGCTTCTCCTCGATGCTCAATGCTGCGGACCTTTCGTCATCCGAAGAGCTGTGACATTTCTGAAATTTGTCCTCCGACTTCCTCCTCCTCCTCCTGCTCCTCCTCCTCTTTCTCCTTTTCCTCCTCCTCCTCCTCCTCCTTCTCCAGCCTTTTCCTCATCGTCCTCCTCCCCCTCCTCCTTTTTCCTCCTCCTTCTCCTCCTCCTCCTCCTCCTCCTCCTCCTCCTCCTCCTCCTCCTCCTCCTCCTCCTCCTCCTCCTCCTCCTCCTCTCCCTAAGGCCCGAACCGTCGGGGGGTTTTCCTGGCGGTGCGTTTTGACGCTGGTAATTTGAAGATGTTCCCAATCAAATCTCACAGGACCTAGCGCGCCAGCCGCTAGACCAGTGGCCAGCTGCGATTCCAAGAGACGAGCCAGAGGGAGCATGGCACAGAAGAGCCAGACAACGCAGGACTGACAACCGTTTGTTGTTGAGAGCTGATGCCGCACAAACCCGACTGCTCAATCATCGTTCAACTCAGCGTCAGATGCAAAATAATTGGTTTTGTGCAATATGTGGTACCGTCAACTCCTTTGGCTGTCAGCTCTGTACGGGGTGTATGCCCGATCAGTCCAATGCATTGCCCAGCGACCGTGGACACGTACCGAATCGTATGAATGGTCCACCTCGGCATGGCCCTGATGCGACGAGTCAATTCTACAGCCAAAAAGTGCCCATGGCATAGGACATGGTTCGGGATCCGTGGGCGAGACAACAACAGTCGGAGGATCAGCAGACTCCCCAGCGGAACACGGCCAGACGGTTGTCCAAAGGAAGATGGAGCCAGCCAGAACGTATCAGACAGAGATCTTCGTCTGTCACCTTCGCAGACCAGGAGGAGGAGACCAACAATGGATCTTCCCCGCTCAACATCCTTCCCGCCCTCTCTGCTCTCGTTGTATACCATCACCGATTTCCCCAGCTGCCAGACGAGCACGCATCAGATGCAGAGAGGAAGCTGCATCTTTCACGGAGGAGAGCGGAGATAGAGGCATTACCAGCGTCCATTCGTATGAAAGAAGCAGCAGGGGACACCAGAGATGAGGAGCGCGAGCGGCATGCCATTGTTTCGACTGCGATACACCTTTGCCGCCACTGAGAGCAGCGAAACGAGTGCTAGCAGGCTGCATTGCAGCGATCGCAGGCGCTCATGGAGCCGCAGGATCAGGCGACACTTGCCAAGGAAGCCAAGGTCGACGCCCCACGTGCGCGGAGAAAAGTTCCAGAACAATAGGTTCATCGGCATGAACAAGCTTTGGCGGAGATCGAGAGCATGGAACCGACCGATCAAGAGCCTCAGGGGGAGCCAGCTGCGACGATGGAGACCGATCACGAGCACGTAGACAGTGCGGCGTCGACCACGAGGAGAAGGATGCCGACGAGAGCTATGCCAGCTACATCGCCTGCGCAGCCAGCTCAGGTCATAGACCTCTCCGTCGTGCAGGCGCAGGTTTCGAGTCTGTCGAAGAACATGAATGCGTTTCAGGAACGCATCGATTCCAACGTGACCAATCTGGGCACTCAACTCAACGAGTGGAACGCCAAGCACGAGGCTCTGCTGGCGGCGGCGAGGGTCCCGCCGCAGGGCATGATTCCGCCGCGTCAGTTTCTGATGCCTGCTCAGACGCTTGTCGCAGGTGCAACTTTGGCTTTTTCGGCCGCGCCTGCGCCCTCCGCTTCTGCATGCGCCGCGCCACGGAACCCGAGAGGAGGCTCGACAGCGGCCAGCCGCCCGAGGCAGAACTTGCATCACGGCCCCCTGTTCGAACAGGGCGCGCTGCGTCTTCAGATGCAGGAGTGGGCGGCATGCCCGACAGGGCTGCCCGCAAGGGAAGAGCCCGCGGGGTTGCCCAACCGCCTGCCCCGATTCCGACGGATCTCACCGATCGTAGTCCGGGTGGACCCTATACCACACTAGAGTCAAATAGTGTCAGTGCACAGACTTGTCGATAACGATTGAGGCGCCCTGGCCGTGGGCTCCTGCATCGAAATGGCAGGACGTTGGATCCCCTCGCCAACTTACACTTTCTCTCTCTCTCTCTGTCTTTCTCTTTCTCTTTCTCTTTCTCTCTCTCTCTCTCTCTCTCTCTCTCTCTCCACCCGCCTGCAATCCCCCCGTCGGTTGTCGCGCCTTCGCTGAATTGGACGGGTCGGGGGGAGGAGGAGAGGTTGTGCCTTCTCTCGCTTCCGTCGCCCTCCAGCTGCACGCATCGGGCTCGCGGCACCTGGGTGGGTTCTTTGCAGGAGCTCTCGACGCGGATGCGTTGTCGATTCCCCCTGCCCACGCTAGCATGGCTGGCGAAATCATGTGGGCCACATCCTAGGCCTTGCAGTCCAAGTGCGAGCGTTTCAGCTTCCACGTTGACAATCCAGCGGTTGTCACGGCGGCGGCAGGAGAAGGTGGCTTGCCAGACATAGCCGGCTTATCCAGATGCCTTTGGTCTCTCACCCTCTTTCTGCAAGTCACTTCCCCCACCTTCTTCCATCATGTCACGTCCCACATGGGTGATCCTCTTAATGAGATGGCAGATGCCCTTTGTGCGCTGGCTGCCCTTAACTAAGATCGCGCCCCCCCCCCCCACCCACCACCACACACACAGTGTCCTCGGGCCAATTGGGCGTCTAACCTTCGAGCTGCCAAGTGGGCGTGGATGGACTCGCTAGATATACCCACTCGCGTCCACTTCTCCAGCTTGTACCAAGACGGTCATATTCTTGTCGCTGACGCACCTAGCGTGACACACACTTGCCCACCACGCATCCCCCCCCTTCCTAAGTTCTCACCTCCCCTTTGCGAGGAATACGCCAAGTGGATCCCCTTCCCTCCTTTCTCGCGATGTTGTGCCGCGCGCCATGTTCAGCTGAGAATGGCTTTCGCCGACGCGTTGAGTTTGCGCGCCAGTGGGAACGGCAAGAAGGTGCCGGTTGGGCCCTATATGCGCATCGTAGGCCGCGCATGTTGGCGGTTCAGTTCGAAGCGGCCGATAATTTAGTTGCTGGCACCGCTGAATCGAGAGTCCCCCGACAAGGCTGGACTGACATTGACAACTATCTCGTCTTGCACAGACCGGCCGCCCCTCGGGGAACTCACGGGTGCCCCCTGCGTCTTCGCAAGGGGTTCCCATTGGTGCCTACCCTACCAGACAGCACGATTAAACGGCATGTTGTCACCGCTGCAGTAGCAGAACGTAGCACGTGGGATGTGAACGCGGCGGTTGGCGCGGATGCGCTTTCCTTTCGCGTCGGACACGCCCCTCGTTCCAGGCGCGACAAGGGGGACATCGTGGTTTGGTGGGACAAGTTCGCTCGCGTTGCGCAGAAAACCTCGGGGCCACCCCGCGCGCCTTCCTGTCGCCGGTCGCCAACGCCACCTCGGTGAGCATTCCGTCAGAAGCGGTCGGACTGCTTGCGCGGGAGAATCATAAATCTCTGACCGCTTGATCCTGCATGTCCCCAGCGACGTTTTCGGGCGATCCGCTTGCCTCTAAAACGTTGACCCCGCACCGGGGCGCGGCGGCGACGAGGGCGATTGACTTAGCGTCAGCCCCCGCTGCGCTGAGACAGTTTGCGGCGACTCCCGCCGTCAACAGTGGCGCTGTGCCGGCCATCGCCAGACCTGATCGCGCTCTCGTCCAGAGAGATTCCCATATGCCCATCCCTGATCTAAGGCATTTCCAAAAGATCGCTTCCTCTAAGCCATGGCTGGGTCGC